CTACATGCTGGGGAAATTGATGCAAATTGGAAGACCATTTTTCTTAAGAGATCATGCCATTCAATCAAGAATGAGTGAGGAGAAACAATTAGCGAAGATGGCAACGCCAATGGTTGTTTTTCGCACCTTGTGTACCCTACATGTTGTAGAAATTAATGTAAAATGTGAAGTACTTTTGGTTTTTTATAAAATGAAGATATTTGAATAAAAAATAAAGTATTAGGATTCTAATATATATATTGGGTGCTAATAGCCCTGTGGACCAAGATATATGTTTAAAAATACGATATTGAACTAAAAAAGGAAAGTGAAAGCAAAAACTAATGGAGCTACATTTTTTTCTCCTGTCTTGTGGTCATTATAAGGCTACGACCACAAAAAAAACTCATAAATGCTGTATTTTCTTCAAATTAAAAATGGAATTAAAATATCAAAAAATAAATATTTGGCCCTATAGTTGATGTCTATGCGTGTTTCTTGAGAGATCAGTGTTTTAAACAAGAATGAGTGAGGAGAAAGCAATTTGCGAAGATGGCAACGCCAATGGTTGTTTTTCGTACCTTGTGTGCCCTACATGTTGTGGCAAATGATGTAAATTTAAAGTGCTTTTTATAAAAATGAAGATATTTGAACGATAACTTATTGTATTAGGATTCAAATATATGTGCTGGGTACCAACATACCTGTAGACCAACATGGATGTCTAAAAATACGATTTTGAACTAAGAAAGAAACGTGAAAACAACAATGAAATAAAGGAACTACAATTGTGGAAAAACTCATCATAAATGATGTATTGTCTAAAAATTATAGATGAGTTTTATTTAAAAATTCAAAAAAAACAATTATTCGGTCTTACCATTTATGTCCGTGCAGAGTTCTATTGCTACGGAGAGCATTTTTCTGGAGAGATCATCCCATTCAATCAAGAATGAGTAGTGAGAAACAATTTGCGAAGATGGCAACGCCAATGGTTGTTTTTCGTACCTTGTGTACCCTACATGTTGTGGAAATTAATGCAAAATGTGAAGTGCTTTTGGTTTTTTTTATAGAAATTAGGATATGTGATTGAAAAAATGTATAGTATTAGGATTCGAATATGTCTGGGGGATGTTTATAAAACTGTAGACCAACATAGAAGTTTAAAAATACGCTCTTGATTGGTCAAATTCTCCTATGTTTCTTGGACAGTTGTTTTTTTAATTATTGAAATATTTTAGAAAAATCCAACGTCCCTGTCGCTTTTTAAAATATTAAAAAAAAACACGTTAGTTGTGGTCCATTAAATTATTTTCAATAAATCGAGGTAATTTTTGTATTATTGCTACGGAGAGCATTTTGCTTGAGAGATCATGCCATTCAATCAAGAATAAGTGGGGTAAAATATTTTGCAAAGATGGCAATGCGAGTAATTGTTTTTCGAGCCTGGTGAACCCTATTGACTGCCCAAATTTTTAAACATACTATCTTGATCTGTTAATTTTACTGGATTCTTTTTCTGGATTCTTTTTCAATTTTTTTGTAGTGAAATACAAAAAAAAAGTGTAGATTAATGAATAGTTGAAAATATGGGCAGATGATGGTGTTTTTTTATAAATAAAAAACATTTTTTTTAAATATGTTTCTCCTTTCAATTTTTTAGTCTGAAAAGTGCAAAAGTGGGTGAATTTTCACTGCATTAATCGGAGTGAATCCAATCAACACAATAATAAATATCCACGAAAAATTCCTTTTCATGGGTGTAGAATTAACCCGTGAAAAGGAATTTTCTCGAGAGATAATTTCTCCAATCATTAATAACTAAAGGAAAATATTTTCCAAAGATGGCAAGGCGAAAGGGGTCTTTTTTGTATCTCGTGTACCCTTTTGCAATTGGCGCATATTTGACGTGATTTTGTTTTTTAAGAAATTATTTGGCAACGCGAATTGGGTCTTTTTCGTACCTCGTGTACCCTTTTGTTGTGCCAATTGCCGCATACTTTAAATGATTTTGTTTTTTTTTTTTATATAAAAATTTAAGCAATTTAAATAAAATATTTTTATGGAGGGTATATTAACTTTGTCTTTCCGTTTGTAACACCTCGAAGAATACATTTTAGATTCCACAAAGTATATATTCTCTTGATCAGCATAAAATTCTATGTCGATTGAGCGATGTTCGTCCCTCTGCGGAAATCACTCTAGCTTCCGAACGAAATGAAGTAGATTGATAACATTTCACTGAAATGTATATTATGTCTGCAGGACTTTTGGTATTGCAAAATGGGCCATGTAGGTCCACGTTTTGGTATAGCCCCCATATAAGATACCTCCCGAAATTCGGTACTTTGTTAATTTTAGCGACATTATTCACCGGAATTATTTCAAATTTGGTATTTAAAGTTCGTAGTGGGTACTACAGCCTATGACAAAAAATTATCTGTGCAGGTTCACGTCTTCATATAGCCCCCATATAACGGTATCTCGCTATATTCGGTATTTTGATGATTCTAGCGACATTATTCACCGGAATTGTTTTAAATTTGGTATTTGAAGTTCGTAATGGATACTGCAGCCAAATTTAGAAAATTGTCTGTGCAAGTCCACGCCTTTATATAGCCCCCATTTACGGTACCTCCCTAAATTCGGTATTTTGATGACTTTAGCGAATTTATTCACCGGAATTGTTTCAAATTTGGTATTTGAAGTTCGTAATGGGTAATAAAGCCTATGACAGAAATTGTCTGTGCAGGTCCACGCCTTCGTATAGCCCCCATATAACGATACCTCCCGATATTCGGTACTTTGTTGATTTTAGCGACATTATTTTTTTTCGCATTTGAATATTGTAATGGCTTATGGCAAAAGTTGTCGACCTCGTATAGAGCCTAATATAACATCTACATTCCGAATTTTTAAAATTTTAACAGAATTTTTAACGGATTTTTTTTTTTTTAATTTCAAAAATTCGTTGCGAATGGTAGAGGGTATTCCAAACTCGGCCCGGCCGAACTTACAGCATTTTTACTTGTTTTTATCAAAATAAAGGAATTATATAAAAAAAACTTGATTTCTAAAATTTTTAATTTCCAAAATTCTAATTTTTTTTTTGTTTTTTTTTTTGTTTTCAAAAATTCTGAAAAATTTATTTTACAATAATTTTTTTTTTGCAATTTTTAACAATATTTATCTTTTGTTACTCCTTCCAATAAAAAATATTGAATTTTGCAAAAAAAAAAAACACCTATTATACCTCCACACATATGATGTCGATGATGATTCTCATTTCCGCTCCCTGCCACCCATCCGCCGACTGGCTACGGCTTAGCTGGTGATGATTATGTGCATTTTGGGATGGTTTATGTTCTGTGTAATTTGTTTGAAATGTTATTCCTCATCAAATATTTAAATATTCGAATAAATTGTTGGGCCTCAAACGATGACGATGAATAAACGAAAAATAGTGGCATGAGCGGGGTACGTGTCAGGAAAAAAAAATTGGGAACAATCGGGAAATAAAAGAAATATTTTTTTGGTAAACTATTTTTCCAAAAAAATTATCTCGATTTTTTGAAAAAAAAAAATATTTGTTTGAGGCGTTTTTGTAGAAAAATGTTTTGAAAGGAATATTCATGGAAATATTTTCTTTTTATGAATTGCATATTTTTCCAAAAAATTTTCTCGATTTTTTGAAAAAAAAAATTTTTCTCGATTTTTTGAAAAAAAATTTTTTTGAAAGGAATATTTATGCCTTTTGATTTTTTCAAATATTTTTCAAACAACCTCACGGAGTTCTTAAAAAAACGTTTTTTTTTTATTTTTTTTTACTTATTTTTATTTTATTATTTTTATTTTATTATTATTTTTTTATTTTTTAATTTTTTTTATTTATTTATTTTTTTTTTTTTTGTTCCCAAAATTATGCTTGCCCGAATTTGTTTTATCATTGAAATACCTTTGCGTGTTGTTTTTATTTTTTTCGAGCATTTTAATTGTTGTTTAATTTTGTGAGTGTGCCCTCAGAAAAAAATTTAAATAAAAAAAATCCAAAACAATAATATTTTTATATAATCATTGAATGAAGTGCAGAAAAAAAACCATTCCCAAGAATTGCTTCAATGCCTGAGGTCCAAGTGATGGACAGCTGCGACGACAACGAAGACGATGAGTGGCAGAATTTTTATTTAAGCCAAGACTTAAATTACATCAATGGAATACAAATCACCTTTGCTTGCGAACACGTTTTGGATTTTGGCACCCATTTCCCCCTACCCCTACCCTTCACACAATTGAAAACACAAAATTCACATTTTTGTGTGCGGTAGATAGGTTATTTGTTGCCTTCGGGCCATTGACAACAAGCCCAACATAAAATTGCCGTTAAAAAAATATTATTACCGGCTGCTGAAATTAACCTTAATTTTCTTCTCTTATTTTATTGAGATTTTTTTTTTTTTTTTTTTTTTTTTTGAATTGTACTTTTGGTTTGGCTATTGTGTGTGAATCACGCAAAAACAAAACAAGAACACAATAAAGACTTTTAAAAACGTGCCAAGAAAACAATTAAAATCATTGCCTCAAAAGATATAATTATGTTAAGAGATTTATTTCAATTGTTTGATCTGTTGTTGGAATTCACATTAATGAGTGGTTCTTGAAACAATACTGAAAAAAAATGGTGGTCCCTGGAAGAGCATTGTTAAAACAATACATTTATTGGTATTGAATTTCATGCTGGCAGCCTTTAAAAAGTATTCCAATAACTCGTATTTTCCCCCTAATATTCCTTATATTCAAAAAATATTTAAAATTTTATACAAATTTACCTTATTTCCCCCCTTAACAAAGCACTTCCGTTCGCTTTTAGTGCAAAAGCCGCTGATTTCACTTTCAACGGCGTTAAAAAGTTTGCGTTATTGGCAGTGGAGTGCAGTCCGGCAACACTGTTCCGCTATGGCAGAGCTCTCTAGATCGCCATGCAGAGATGTGTAAAAGAGTACTTAATCATACGACAGCTGTTACATTTATCGATCTACGATTCCCTAATACAATTGTTTGCCCGCTTTTTGCACATTCCATTGCTAAAACGATTTAATTTTTCATAAAAAAGCCGGGAATTTCCGCAATTACCATGGGTTCTATAAAACTCAAAGAAGACCTTAAAAATTGTTTGATAAATTTCGATCGTAAAGTTCTAATAACCCAACTCCTGGATGACTACAAAGTGGAACACAAGGAGGCCGACAAAATTGTGGCAGATTTTGTACAGGAACAGGAAAAGAAACAAAAATTGAAATATGAAAAATTCTATGTGGTGCATGGTAAACAGCAAAAGGAGGATAAACAAATTAAGGAGATCTATAAAATTGTTGAGGAGGGCAAGTTGAAGGAATGGCTGAAGAAATTGAAAAATGTCCAGTCGCTGTTGTATGCGGTCGAGGTAAGTTGTCAACAAAATAATCACACCTTTAAAAACTAATTGGGGTTCTACTACCTCCATAGATTGCTGGTGGCGCAAAAACTCCGGCAGCCATTTTCAAGCCCATGAGTATTGAGGAGGGTGTTAAGCTAAAGCAAAGGGCCGGTACCAAAGCTGCTGCGGCAAATGGCACTACAACCTCCGAAAACAAGCCAACCACCTCAAAACCCCCGGAAAAGAAGGAAATAAAACAAGAAGTTAAGAAACCCACAAATGATGTGTCCAACAAAACCTCTGCCCCTGATACCAAAAAGTCCACACAAAAAACACCCACAAAATCACCCACCACCACCACCAAGGCCAACAAAAAAGGAGGCATTAATAGTTTCTTTAGCTCGGCTGCCAAGAAAACGGAAGACTCCAATGACACAAAACCCCCAGCATCGGGGGTGGTGAAACCCCCCACACCCAAGAAAATGCAAGACTTCTTCAAAAAACAAACCGAAAAACCCAAACCAGCCGTTGAAGCAATTAAAAAACCAACAGCCAATACCTCCGTACAACTCTTCGACGATGAGGATGACGATGAAGAAAATAAAAATGAATCATCGGATGAGGAGGAAAAATTGGAAGCTCTCAAGCGCGATATTATTTCCTCGGATGTGGAAATGAATGCCGATGATGATGATGGTGATGAGGCGGCTAAACCTAGCACCTCCAAACGTCGGCGCATCATTGATTCCGACGATGATGATGAGATTGAAGAGCAACCTGCTGTGAAACAAGAAAAACTCGATACAAGCGCTGTGCAGGAAGACGAAGAAGAGGCAAATGTTTCGAAATCTGAAACATTTTTAGATGAAGATGGTTTTGTTATAACCAAGAAACCAAAGCAAAAGGCACAACCGGCCAAAAGGAAGTCACCATCAGCGGCTAGTGTTAAGGCCTCACCGGCCAAGAAAACCTCACCTAGTGAATCGAAGAAAACATCACCGAAATCATCGGGTAAAGGTGCCGCAGCCGCCACCACCAAAGGAAAACAATCTAATATTATGAGTTTCTTTGGGAAGAAATAATCCACCAACATGTCCTATAACGTGGATGTTATATAAAGTAATAAAATGCATGGGAACATAGGATCATTTGGAGAATTACTTATATTTTTTATGTTTGGAAGTCTGAACTAGTTTTAGTTGTATTAAATGCCTATATTGTTTTCCAAATCTTTCAATAATTAAATTTGTCACGAAAGAATATAAATATCTTTATTATAGAATAAGAATAAATACATAAATAAACTAATATAGAACTATAAATGTGGATTTTTGAAATATTTTCAGGACTTTCTATTCCAATTTGTAGATATATATTTTTTCAGGTCCATCCAAGGGTCAATCAAACTATAAATGTGGATTTTTTTTAACAATTTTATTAAGGGAGATTTGCTAATATTGAGATTTGCATGAAAAAGTGGAACTTGGACCAGAAACCTCAAAAAAAAAAACAAGAGATAGCATGGTATGACGAGTATGTCAAGAAGCGCATCTATTTAAAATATATTTTCCCGAGGAGATAAACTATTTACTGGGACAACGAAGCCCCGGCTGATTTGTTAGGAAATTGAAACCAAAACTTCAAAAAAAAAAAAAAAAAAAAACGAAAATCGGGAGGCGCCTTTGTTTGGGGACTATATTAAAAAGGGGACCGACATTAAAACTTTTTTGATCAGTAGAGACTCCGATATGTGAAAAAAGTTGTAACTTTTGGAAAAATATCTGGAGGATCCCTTATATGGGGATTTTACTAAAAATGGACCCATGAAAATCAGTTGAAATGGTTGCATATATACAAAGTGGATCTTCCATAGAGAATGCATTTAATTCAATAGAAAATTGGTCCAAAAAACCCCAATATCTCGAAAATTTGGAAAAGCTGTTATGTAGGGGCTGTACCTAAACGTTGATCGATATATTCCATTTCATCCTTCATATCCTAGAAACAATGTCCGTGCATAGAATTTTATGCTTATCTTAATATACATACATATGTATGTATAAGTCTCCTTAGGAGACTTTACTTTTCACTATTTTCTTTGAAAAAATTCGCGCCATAGTCAAAAACGAATCATTTTTCTTTTAAACAACTGACCACCATCATTTTATCACTGAATTCACAAGAAATAAAGTATTATGATTAGGCATGCTCACTAGCATCCGTTTTTGTTGTTGTTTTTGTAACAATAAATGTCTTGCATTTCTTTTTAATTCATAACTGTCGTTCTTTAGCAAAGGGGCAATAAAAACTCTCACCATTAAACTCTTTCGGTATGAGCATCACTGGATTAGGATAAAAACAAAAGAGAGAGAGAGAGAGAGAGTAACAGCATTCATTGAATGGTCCCCCCTCTTTGTCAAATGGAGCCTATGACGTCTGTGTATTAACAGCTGATCTAGAATGGTTTTGATGCTACTGTATGTTGTTGTTGTTGTATTGTTCCCCTTTTATCTAATCATGACTTTTGTTTACATTGTTTTACCGTTATCAAGTTGATACATTCAAATTGTTTACATGTCATTTTTGTCGCATTTCCTACGAAATTACTTAACAGAGTTGTTGTGTGCCGCGTCTCGTCTACTGCGAGGAGTACGCATTTAAGTTTTAAAGATTTTTTTTATTAAAAACTAATCCCAAGTAGAGTTAATTTCTTCTAATCTGTGATTATCTTTTTTCTTATTTCTTTATAGTTTAATTTTTGTTTTACTTCGCTTATAAAAGCCATCATTTACAATTCTTCCAAAGGCGAGAAGGAGGAAGAAGTTTAACCAAACAACACAAAGTTTCATTAAAGCCGTGCCCTCACAAACAGCTTCAAAATTACTTACAAAACTTTAAATTCCACACCCACAATTGAAAACGCATTTAAAATGCGTTTCGAACCACTGGGCCAGAAAATGTTTACACGACGAAATTGGTTGCTGCGCTGCAGTATACTCATCAATATTGCTGTGATTTTATATATCTGCAGTCATCTTATGATTGGAAATCGTTATACCCTGACGTCGGGTTCACAGTTTGTGATACAGGAACAGCCCAGCAGTGCCATGCAGCAGCAGCAGCAGCAAGCTGAAAGGGGCATGGTGAGGGAAGCATTGGCCAAAATGGTAAGTATTGTGTAAATATTTCTCTCATTTAAATGCCTAACTTCCGTTTTTAAATTTTGAATTTACAGGAAATGCTTGAAGAAAAACAAGAAGTTCCCAAGCCTCCCAGTGAAACTAAGGCTGACATAAGCGGCAACAGTGGTGGCGGTAGTTCTCATGACCTACAACAGCCGCCAGTTAAAGATGCCGATGCACCCCCTGAAATGGATCCCGATATTGGTGATCCAGCCAATGTCATTGGCAATATTGGCAGCAGCAATGCCGCCAATAGCAATTTTGTAAATAACACAAATGCTGCCGATCCAAACTATTTGGTGGGCGGCGATGAAAAAGACTTTGACGAGCGCTTGCGTAGCATATTGAAATGCCACGATAAAGCGTATGAGGCCGAGACTCTACAACGTGGAGATTTTTGGGTCTTAAAGAATTATGTTCGGGCCGAACATGGTGAACTGAAGTGCCATGAATCCATTACCTATACCACACATGCAGATTATACGTTTTTAGATAATCTGATACCATTGTTGGAAAGGTAAACGCAACACAAAACACAAACCACATCAACAAAAACAAATTTACCTTACCTCCTCCTTCTTTTTTTTAGATGGAATGCTCCCATCAGCATAGCCATGCATGCACCCGGCACCGACTTCCAACCAACATTGGATTCCATAAAATATCTAAGAGACTGCTTGCCCAATAGTAATTTAGTGCGCATGTATGCCACTTTCCATATATATTTTAGTACCAAACATATCCCCAAAACGATACCCAAGTATTATGATGCTCTTAAGATGGGCTATAATTGTACGCTGCCGGCGCCCTATGTCAATGTGACATCGGGCCATTTGTATAAGACGCAAAAGAAGCTGTTGTACCCGGTCAATGTGGGTCGCAATATTGCCCGTGATGCTGCCATAACACATTTCATATTGGCCAGCGATATTGAGTTGTATCCAAATCCGGGTTTGGTGAAGAAATTCCTTGAAATGATTGCCCGCAATGAGCCTTATTTGAATAGAAAAGCACCGCGGTGAGTTGAAGAAATTTATGTTTTTTTTAGATCCCAATTTCCAAGGAAAATAGTTGTAATTACGGCATTTTAGGGCTCGTAAGAATTTTCAATGATCTTCGGTATTTAGATACTTATTTTATTCCGTTTTTTAAATTTATTTATTTAAAATTATATTTATTTATTTCTTTATTTTATTTCAATTTACTTTATTTATATTTTCTTCATACCCTCCACCATAGTACTTTAGACCCCACAAAGAATATAAATTCTTGATCAGTTTAAAATTCTATGTCGATCTGGCGACGTCCGTCCGTCTGTGGAAATCACTCTAGCCTACGAACGAAATGAAGTAGGTTGATAAAATTGTACTCAAATATATATTATGTCTGCAGGACTTTTTGAATTGAACATGGGCCATGTAGGTCCACGTTTCGGTATTCGGTATTTTTTTGATTTTAGCGACATTATTCACCGGAAATGTCTCAAATTTGGTATTTGAAGTTCTTAATGGATACTACAACCTATGACAGAAAATTGTCTGAGCAGGTCCACGTCTTCGTATAGCCCCCATATAACGGCACCTCCCGATATTCGGTATTTTGATGATCTTTAGCAACATTATTCATCGGAAATGTCTCAAATTTGGCATTTGAAGTTAATAATGGATACTACAGCCTATGACAGATGATTGTTCGTGCAGGTCCACGATTTCATATAGCCCCCATATAACGGCACCTCCCGATATTCGGTATTTTGATGATCTTTAGCAACATTATTTACCGGAATTGTTTCATATTTGATATTTGAAGTTCATAATGGATACTACAGCCTATGACAGAAAGCTGTCCGAGCAGGTCCACGTCTTCATATAGCTTTCGTATAACGGTACCTCGCGATATTCGGTATTTCGATGATTTTTGCGACATTATTCACCGGAAATGTCTCAAATTTGGTATTTGAAGTTCATAATGGATACTAAAGCCAATGGCAGAAAAATGTCTGTGCAGGTCCACGTCTTCGTTTAGCCCCCATATTACGGTACCTCCCGATATTCGGTATTTTGATGATTTTAGCGATATTATTCACCGGAAATGTCTCAAATTTGGTATTTGAAGTTCATAATGGATACTAAAGCCAATGGCAGAAAAATGTCTGTGCAGGTCCACGTCTTCGTTTAGCCCCCATATTACGGTACCTCCCGATATTCGGTATTTTGATGATTTTAGCGATATTATTCACCGGAAATGTCTCAAGTCAAGCCTATGACAGAAAATTGTCCGCGCAGGTCTATGCCTTCGTAGCTCCCGATATTAGTTATTTTGACGATTTTAGCCACCTTTTTCACCGATTTTTTTCAAGTTTCGCATTTTAATATTGTAATGGCTTCTGACAAAAGTTGCCTATGCAATGCCGACCCCAATATAACGGCTACATTCGGTATTTTTCAGATTTTAACCGAAATTTTAACGGAATTTTTTTTTTGAAAATTTCAAATTTCATTTTTTTTTTAAATTTTAATTTTTAATTTTTTTGAAAACTTCAAATTTCAAATTTTTTTGAAAATTTCAATTTCAAATTTGAATATTCAAAGTTCGGCCCGGTCGACCTTACAGATTTTTTACTTGTTTATTTGCTATTTGATATTAATTGTGTCTCTTCTCATTTCCTTAGTGTTTTCCCCCTGTCCATTTTTGAAGTGGAGGACAGCAGTCCTGTGCCCCATGACAAAACCGAATTACAAGAGTTCCTGCGCTCGGGCAAAGCCATACCATTCCACAAACGTGTCTGTGCCAGCTGTCACGGCGTACCCAAATCCAAGGAATGGATGGCTGCCAACGAAACTGACGAATTAAGTGTCTTCCATATTGGAAAGCGAACCGGTTACTTTGTACACTGGGAACCAATTTATATAGGAACCAATGCCGAGCCCCACTATGACGAGCGTCTGAGTTGGGAGGGCAAAAGTGATAAAATGACACAGGTGAGTGGGAAATAATTTCATTATTTTTTTATTATTTTAAAACATATCTCTTTGTTGTTTTAGGGCTATGCCTTATGTGTCCTAGACTATGAATTTCATATACTAGACAATGCCTTT